AACGGAAGCGACAGGCTCAGCGACCTCGGTGTTGACCTTGGCGGCGGCCTTGCCCTTCTTTGCTTGCTTCTTAGGCTTCTCCTGTACTTCAGCGACCTCGACTACCTCCGCGACGGGCTCGGCCATCTCGGTATCGACGTCGGCAGCGGCCTTGCTCTTCTTGCCCTTCTTGGGCTTGACAGGCTCGGCAACGGCGACAGGCGCAGCTTCCTCTTCAATGTCCATGAAGTCGGCGGCTTGCTTGCGCGCAGATTTCCGCGTTGGCTTGGCTTCGACGGGCGTGACATCGTCCGACTTTCTCGGCTTCTTCGCTTTGGGCGCCGCCTCTGATGCGCCTGAGACAAGTTAGCGAACGCGATCGGGAATTATTAATATCGCAATTGCTCACCCTTGCGCTTCTTTCCTGTAGTGTCTTGGACAGCCATTGTGATTTCGTGTAATGGCGTGGGGTCTGTGTGGTCGCGAATGTTGTTACGCGCAAAAGTTCGGAGGAGAGCTCAGACGCGGGAACTTTTTTCGTGGCAGTCGCGCTAATGGACACTTGCCAAGATAGTCCCCAGCCCTCACCATTAACCTACAACTCCAGATACTCACCTCACACCAAGCGAAATACTTGAAACCGAAAAGAAAAAGTGAACGCTCTCACAGCATTTTACCAGGCTAGCAACTCAACTTGCTCTGTACACCGCCGAAGATCCAAAGTTCAATATGGCACCCGTTGTAGACATGAGCGACAAGAACGCGTGGGATGATTCTCTGCTGATCGATTCCTGGGATGAGGCGGTGAATGAGTACAAGGTACGTTTCTACACGCGTCGTTTTCGTAGTTTCCGCGAGGATATCGACTAAACAGAACAGAAATACCACAGTATCCACCAATCAGGCAAGAAACTTGAAGACGTCCTGACGGAGGAAGAGCTAAAGGAAGCACGGGGGTAAGCAGCTCTCCAAGCCTTTACATCACGATACTAACGTTTCTAGGGAATACGGGGACCTGATGGATGAAGCGGAGGCCGTATCGGCAACAGCAGAGACCAGCGGTGTCGCGGATCATGGAGATGTAGACACGCCGCTGTCAGAAACCAATGGCGTTGCTCAAAGCGGTCCGTCGCCGCAGCAGGTACGTGTACACATGAAACAGCCCAGTACCGAACCCTGTCTTACGAGAACCAGGAACCAGATCTCTCCGGGAAGCAAGAACCGCAGATCCAATCGCCAAGTGCTGAGGCTCCTCCGGTGCCACATGCTGCCGGCACTCTTGCAGATGCCATGCCGCAGGCCATCCTTGGAACCGGTAAGCCGTGATTTTGACAGCCGTTACTTCCGGATGGTGTGGAAGTTTGACAGTTGGTGACATGCTGCTAACTCTCAATAGTGCAAGATGAGAATATGAAGAACATTATGATGTCCTGGTACTATGCCGGTTACTACACTGGTTTGCATGCTGGCCAGCAGCAGGTTCGCAAAGAGCCCCCAGCGACTCAGTAGCGGATCCAGGGAATGACGCATTTTGGAGGCAGTGCGCATCACACTGTGGCTGCCGAGCGAGTTTAGAAGACGAAGCAGACATATTGAGGCTTGAAAGTTGTTGTTTTGAACCAATGGGGTGAGGAATGCCATGGTCTAGTCCCTGCACGCGACTGACGACCTACACAGTTCGTGCCTCAACTCCTCGGGAACGCAGGCTGCGAGATGAAAGCTCTGCAGTTTTCCATGCGGCTCACGAGTTCCCAGCCCCATAGTCCAGGCATCCTGATTAGTTCTGTCCCTGCGCCTATAGCCTTGGTGGTTCTTAGATTACCGCATTGGGCTTGTCTGGCGAGAAGCGAGACGGATCTGCGACACCACCGCGACAGTCTCGAACCCACCTCCAACGGTTCGAGTCCCAAACACCCCCCGCCGTTGCGCCCAAGCAAGTGCGCATCACCAAAATCTCGCCATTCTTGCAGCCGATCAACGTTTCCCCCATGCCATGCCGAGCGCAAGGGGCTGGTGTTTCGCCATGTGCGCAACGGCCTGCACGCCTTCCAAATCCAACAATTTCATGCGTGGATTTAAGGAATAGACAATCCCCAGGCATAAACTTTCTCCTCATCTCATCGCTCTTGCCTCATAATACCAGTGCTTCACTGTCTCTTTCTCTTACTTCATCTGCTTCTTACTGTCCGAGCCGGCCCTCGTAGTGCCCTTTCAATCCTTCAAACCTTCTATCGTATATTCTAGTGCTTGCAGCGCAGGCTTACGTTCACTTTTACGACACTTTTACACGATACGCAATCTAGTCATAATGAAGTACTTCACAGCACTACCCCTAGCGGCCGTACTTGCCTCCGCCGAGATGCAGGTTATGAGCCTTGCCCCCGAGGTCGCAGCTGGCGCGATGACGCACACTGTAAGTACACTCATGCTACTTACTCTTGAACTCAGTCTGACATACAACAGGTCGTCGTTGGTGGAGTCAAGCCCGTCGAGACTGGTATGGCACCCGTACTAGGATACAACCCCGAGTCCATCAAGGCCGCCGTCGGCGACATGGTCGTCTTCGAATTCATGCAGAAGAACCACACTGCCACTCAATCAACTTTCGCCGAGCCCTGCAAAAAGATGGAGGGAGGCATGGACTCTGGCTTCATGCCCAACCCCGAGGGCAAGGCTGGTGTCACATGGAACATGACCGTCGAGACAACAGAGCCGCTTTGTAAGTTTTCTACATTTGGCGATAACATGGAAGACAGCTAACATCATCAAGGGTTCTACTGCAAGCAACAAAACGGCATCCACTGCGGAAAGGGCATGGTCTTCAGCATCAACGCCGCCGAGACTGGCGACAAGACCATGGCCGACTTCAAGGGCCTAGCCATCAAGACCAACGGCACTGGTCTCGTTGCCGGAGACCTCCAGTCCGTCGACCCCGGCGCCGCTGCCGCCCCTACCACCGTCACCGTCGAGGCTGGAGGTGCCGCCGCAACTGGCACTGGTACTGGCACCGGTGCTCTCGCCTCCGCCACCGTCGTCGCTGGACAAGGAACCGACGGTGCCGGCCAGACCTGCTCCTGCCAATGCCTCTGCGGCATGGCCTCCTTCCCCGAGACCGCCGCCATCAACAACTTCGGCGGTTTCCCCGGCATGATCGCATAGACGCCTTCACGAATATAAACTTGGAGAAACGGTGTAATGAGTAGGAGGAGGAGAATGGATCGACTAGGTGTATGCGCTTGGTCGGTCTTGGGGGAGGAGGTGGTGGTCGAGAAACAACATTCTTACGACGGGTTCGGGCAAGAAAGCTTCTGGTTTAGCATTTGTTCCCCCCGGATCCTTATACCATTTTTATCATTTGCTGGGGCGTTTCGCATTATACCGTAATCCACATGCTGCAATGGTAGCCGCGCGGTGGTGCTGTTTGAGTTAACAGACTTGATTGTAACGTTGTAGAAAAACTTTAGTATTAGAGCTAGATCCAAGAGATCGCACTTTCGCAATCTTTGCCATGTTCAAAAGTGCTATTAGTGCTTGGTGTTTGCGTTTTAATCGTGATGAAGACTGGAGTGTGTTGCATGGGAAAAGGGCGCAATGGGCTCCTCACGGCGTTCAAAATCAGAAATCGGTGTATTCGGTATATCCAAGAATCAATCCAAGCACACTCCTTCGCCTTCTAATCCAAACCCAGGAAACTCCACTTCATGATGATAGGCTTCTAAACAGCTTGACTGTGACGGCGGTGGTGGCGTCAAGATGTTGTCGTTTGTCGCGTTGCGGCATCTTGTCTGACCGCTCATTTCTTAGCGCCCTCAGCGGCCCTCTTTGCCTCAGCTACACAGGCAGTCAGCGTCGCCGTCTCGAGAGTATCGCATGGCCTTTCTGAGGTATGCGTGATCAAGATAAGAGAAATTCGACGTACCAGCAGCTTGTTTAGCGCGCATGATCTCTGCTACGTTCTCTTTGGTGCGCGCGAATTCGGTACCGGATTGCTGCAGCCTGTGGTTAGCCAACACCCTTCGAGGCCTTTATCGCCAGTCTCTCCCGGACACACATACAGTGTTCTTGCCTTTCTATTTATTGAGTCAGCGCGATCTTTCTTTAGGGGAACAACGACTGATATAACCAATGTTCGTGGTGTCAGAAACGGGGCTCAAACATACCTTTCCAGCCTGCTCCTTGAGGTTCTTCTCCCTAGCCTTGTCGCGCTGGTTGCCACGCGCCATTTCGTTGTCTTTGTGGTAGAAAATCGATCAAAAATCGTCCAAGGCAGTCTTCTTGGCTTTCAGTGCCGGGCGTGCAGGCTGTTGCGAATTAGGATATTTATCGAGGGCGCGCTGAGGAATTAGAGGTTTGGGTAGTCAGCGCGGCGGAAGTTCTGATAAAAATAGCGCGTTGTTTGTTTCCGCTGGCCAATTGGGGCAAGGGCCAGAACGTGGAAAGTGGAAGCCGCGATTCGGGGCTTCTTCGCCACGTGCGGCGCCCTTCACGATCTCTCTTCTTTATCGAGATCGTTGATTACTTTCGCTGTCATGTTCCGTTGTCGCACCGAAGACTGTGTTTGATGGATGCAATCTTCTTCGCTCCGCGTATGTCGTTTGCTCCTGCCGCCGGCAATAGAGGGACAATTTAGGTGTCATGACACTGCAATGCCTCCTCACTACGCACTCGCATCCCATAAATCAGCTACAGTGCACGGATAAGAAGCGCAATACATGAGGATTTTCACACTCTCATCTGCCCAGCGAATCACTGCAGCAGTAGCAACTGCAACGTGTTGAGCACCCCGCACAAGGCTGAAGGCTGACGTGCACCTCGTCATGCGCGCTGATATTGTGCAGATAAGATGCGCCACTAACTGTACAAGAAAGCTAGACGTCCTCTTTATGCAGCTTTTAGCTGACATCTCCTACTGTCGGCCACCACATGCAGTACACTCTATATCGTTTCGCTCGTCATACACTTTTGCAACCTTTGCTTGAGATACCCGCCCACCACTTGTTGCATTCGACCACGGCTGCTCGATGGCTGTGGAGACAGCAGAAATGGCTCAATACGTCTACCAGCCACTGGACGAAAGCAACGATGAGATCCGACTCATCACTTTACTACCCGCAGCGGATCGAGATAGCGAAGTGATCTGCGACATCAACATCGTTCGGCTTACAGAAGAAGATGTACCACAGTATGAAGCGCTCTCATATACCTGGGGTTCGGCCGAATCACCATGCAGGCTTCGAGTTTCGTCGATCAGCGACCACAGCATCGATATCACCGAAAACCTTGCGGAAGCCTTACCGTATCTCCGCGACCCCGTCTCGCCCCGAGTACTGTGGATCGATAGTATTGCTATCAATCAGAAGGACTTGGGCGAGAAAGGTCAGCAGGTTCAGCGGATGGCTGACATCTTCAGCTTAGCAGAAAGAGTCATTGTTTGGCTAGGGCTGGACGATGCCGACAGCAAGACAGTCATGGAAACATGCGAGTTCCTCGCTACCAAGGTGGAGATTGACCTTGGTACGCTTGAAGTAAGAAGTCTATCCGACCAACCACAAGATGCTCATTGGAGCGACGCAAGAGAACAGCCTCCCTATGACTTAGCAACCTGGCAGGCGATTGTAAATTTTTTGAGTCGACCGTGGTTCCAGCGACTCTGGATATGGCAGGAGATCCGACTGGCTAAACCAAATGCGATGATGTTGAGCGGCATGGACAAAACGCATTGGGGAAAACTCCAAACTCTGCTGTGTTTTACCGGCTACAAGAGAAGTGTGATTTGTTCCAAGAGTCGGATATCGCATAGTCCCGCAACGCTCATGAATCATGCCGGCTATCTTGCAAGTCCCAGGAGGACAACGCTTTCGTCTTTGCTTGCAAACATGCAACATTCTCGATGCATCGATCCGCGAGATCGCGTATACGGCATTCTCGGACTATCATCCACAACGGAAATGAGAATAGATCTACGACCCGATTACGAGAAATCAGTGAGAGATGTATACACGGATCTTATGATGTGCTATATCCGGACTTCGAAAAGCCTTGAACTTTTACGTCTATGCGACTACGACGAGAGATTGGGAAATTGGCCCTCATGGACACCTGATCTCAGGAACTTGGTTATAAGCGCCATGACGCAATCGCACGCTTCCGGAAATACTGCGTGCGAGGTAGCGTTTTTACAAGACAGGGTGTTGAGAGTGACGGGATTAAGGTTGGGTCGAATCACTATGGTGGACAGTTTTGATGGGTCATATTACGATTACAATTCCATCCGACGGTGGGCAAAAGGTCTCGATATGGATTCTGATTACGTTGATGGCAAATCCATGGCTGAAGCGTTTTGTCTTGGTATCTGTGGAGGTGCCGTATCGGACCTGTACGTGCCACCTTCGAAGAAGTTTCCAAGTTTAGAGTCAATCCTAGCGTTTCTTCACGACACTGTAACGCTCAAGGACGGCGAGTTCGACATGTACCAAGGAGAGCATATGTTATCAGTTCAAATTTTCAGACACTGCGAACGGCGAGTGTTCTTCAGAACATCATCCCACCATCTCGGCATAGGCCCGTTAGGTGCGCGCGAGGGCGACCACATATGCGTCCTGCTTGGGTGTAACGTTCCCATGATCATTCGCGCAGTTCCAGATGGGAGTTATAAGATCATTGGAGAAAGCTACGTATCTGGACTCGATAATAACGAAGCATTATTGGGCCCCTTACCGGGTGGATTTAAAGAGGTGATGCAGTATGACGCGAAATCAAGGGAGTACTGCTGGGCCTTTCTACATACAGAATCCGGAAAGATTGAGATCGAAGATCCAAGGTTGAGGACTGAATTGCCACCAGGGTGGCGTCGAGGAATTGATGCAAAAGGATATTTTTGGGACCACTTTAGCCATGAGAGTGCGCCAGACGCATGGTCAGCTCATGATCCGAGGTTGACGAAATCAGAGCTGCTAAAACGCGGAGTGCCGCTGGAAGACATCGAATTTTCGTAGTCAGCAAGCATTGCCATCTCACGTTGCATCATGAAAGACTATTACTTCTACCTAGGTAGCAATGAAGTCCAGATTTGCGACCTTGCCGTAAGATGTTCAAGCGGACGACATAGACGTATCGTGATTAGTGCCATGTGCACACCAAGATTTGTGGGCGGAAATTCTCATGTTCGATAACTTGCTGTATCTTTGCGAGCTGAGCTTTCGAAAGCTTGAAAGCGATGTCAATGGTGTGAAGGTAGTATGGCTCGTGATGTGAGGCAAGGCGGCGATAAGCGGGGCTTATCTGTCAGACTACGCGCTAAGCGAGACCCTGATCAAAGTGATCGCGCTCTCCCGCGCTATTTGCAGAACATTTCCCCTCGTTTTTACACCAACATATCCACTCGATCCACGACAATGCCTATTTCAAAGAAGGATAGAGTAAGTTGAATAATCAGTTCATTTTACCTGGTACAGAGTTACTGACATCTTACAGATCCAGCGCGAGCACAAGAAAGCCGACAAGGCTGGCACCCGCGCGCCAGTCAAGGCAAACGGCCTGCCCGTCAAGGCGCCTAAGCCGACGTCCATCGTAGGCACTCTTGCGCTTCTCATCTGATGCTCTTGCATTGCACGGCATCATTGCGCATAGCTGACTACCTGAACCCATACAGTGCCAGAACTGCCGCCGCGAAATCGTCAACACCAACAAGGCGCAGCTCGAGGCCCATGCCGCTAGCCACGACGCTACAACATGGCCCAAGGAGAAGTGCTGGCCCAACGACTTCTGAAGAAATGGAGTCAGCTCCGAATAAGAGGCTTGATTGAAATTTGTGGAGGCACACGGACACGGATACCTTCGCTATGAAGAGTGAACAAAAGGAAGGCGAACGGCCTATTTCACTTTACGATGAGGGACGACTTATCGATACATGATCAACACACAGTCCCAAGGAAGGACATGTCACACCGTGGTCACGTACGCTCGCTGTGGTAGCCGTACGTGAACGTAGCGTGCGAGCAGTGAGTGGCTACATGGAAGAGTCAGTATCTGAACGGCACCTGTACCATACCCCAAACAGAAATACTTTTACTTTACGCTATTTGGTCGCACATACAACAACTTTCAAGGACTGGTCTGTTCAGCGATCAGAGTTGATTGCCTCTCTACATCTGACATCTAGCCCTCAGAGTCCGTTCACAGGAGTGCTCAAGACATGTGGCTAACACCACAGCGCTAACCCAGGACCCTCCCGCTGTTTCGCGATAGCAGCGGTGATCGTTCCGCTCGATCTACTCCTTCCTCATCGTCGCCTACGCGCTCAACGTCTCCGTGACTACTCTTCGTCCTCCAAACAACATACGCGTACCCAAGCGGCGGATAGAAGAAGACACGACACGAAGTTAGCCCTGGGTTACTTCATTCGACGGCCGTAGACTCACAGCAACAAAAGACTGGCGAGCGCATCACGCTGGACCCGTCTCTTCACATATATCGGGTCTGTATAGTAGCCTCGACCTGGGCCAAACGCAGAGTCCAAGATAAGCCAAAGCCATAGTCCTGTAGCAAGGACCGACTTCGCGATCTCGAACATGAACGCCTGGAACGGTGTCGCAATGGCCTTGCGCTGGACGTACACAATGAATACAATACCGGCGGACATGAGCGCCGTTATGGAAGATGCGCTGCGGACGTTAGTTCGTCTGCGCATGAAAGGATTGGTGAAATGTGTCTGTGGGTAGACGGCGGACGTACAAGAAGTAGTAATAGTTCTCTTCCCAGGCATATGTCATCTGTTCCCATGCAAAGAAGCCCAAGATGACCATCGTGGGTATCGAAACGATGGCTTGGAAGATGCCAAAGCCGCGAAGAGCCTGCTGCCCAAGGGGGCGGCTTTCGATACTCGCCATAGTAATGAGTTTGGTCAAACGTGCGAGCTGCTGGCTTCAAGTGAATGTAGTGTACGGATAAATCTTTTGTTTACTCGTATCCTGCGTAGAATGGAACGAAACCTCGGCGTAACTTGTACTCTTGGAAGGTTGATACCGCAATCAGGTGCAAATGCTGTTGCCTGGCGTGTGAAACATCAGGCCTGAAGATTGTGTGGCGCAGCCTGAAAATCGTATCGATGCGGCCAAGATATGCGCAGGTTCGCCTTACTGTGCCATTTGATTGCACGCATCCTGAAGCCTTGCCAGATAAGAGTAAATCTACATCGATAAGCCACTAAGCCTCTCACTTCTTCTCCAACCTCCCCTTCTCATCCTTCAATATCTCCCCAACCGTATCCTCAATACTCGGTCCCTTCGGCTGCCATCCCACCAACTTCTTCGCCCTCTCCGCCTTACCCCTACTATTGAACCCCCAACTCACAGCCTCGAAGCCCGCCTGCTCAATCGCCTTGTCCTTACCAAGCTGTTGCTCCTTCAACTCTTTCTTGCTAACAAGGCCCAACTCCGTCGCCTTCTTACCCATGAGACGCGCAAGATCAGCCCAAAGATGCTCGCCGTTCTCAACGAGGTAGTAACCCTGTTCGTTCCAGAGCTTAGCATCGGTGTTGTTGTTCACCGCGGCTTCGGTGAGCAGGACGAAGAGCTGAGCGAGGTCAGAGACGTGAACGTTGTTCCAGCGTGCTTTTCCTTGGCCGATGATGGGGATGTATTCGCCGGTCAAGATGAGGTGCGCAAGTTCGTACGCCTGTCGACTCCGGGTGTTTGATGGGCCTCTTCCGCGTCCGTAGATGGTTGGTGGGCAGAGGATAGCTGTTTTGACTGATTCGGATCCGGCTGAAAGTACGAGGTCGTCGACGTTCTTGTGGAAGGCGTCTTTTGGTAGGCCGGTTAGGTCTTGCACGGCGGTCCAGTCGTTGTACTCGCGTTCTGACCATTCGCCTAGCTTGTTGTCGTCACGCATCGTTTCCCAGCATAGGATGCCGGTGCCGCCAGTGTGGAGCCAGAAGCCGGGATTTTCTTTCGAGTGGCCGGATGCAAGGCCCTTTGCGATGGCCTTTGCGGCGCCTTCATGGTCGGATGCATCTGCGGTGTCTGCGATTGTTAGTGTCGACTCTATGGCTGAGTGAGGCTATGAGTGGCTCACGAATGACTACGTCTGCCTTTGCTGCCTCTTCTTCCAGAGTTTTGGAGTCGTCCAAACCGCCGATGACGATCCGCACCTTGGGGAAAGCTTCGGTGACAGTCTTTGCTTTTTCCTCTTCACCATTGTCAGCACAATGCCCCATCCATGATGAGGAAGATGAAAAGTACCTGTTCGCACAAGAGCCGCAATCTCATAATCAGAGTGCTTGTCGTACAGCGCAAAGAGGGTGTCGCCTCCAATGTACCCGGTCGCGCCGGTACTGCATGGAGAGTTAACGTCAGCAGAGTTGAACAGCTGTGCAATGTATATACATACAGGAATATCTTAGGTGCCATGATGAAAGTGATTGGGATTCTGAGTAAGTGCTCAAGTTCTTTGGGGTCCCTTCTGATGGTTGATGCTGATACACTTCATATCACAGATGTAGCGCGACAGCTGCGGGTGACGTCATCACGCTAGAAACATCGGGACCACTGGAAGAACATTTAATCGCACGGCAAGCCTCGGATCTAGCCCTCCTGGTGGTGCATCCAAAACGTCACTTCAATTCCTATCGTTCTTAATAATGATTTCAAATGTCGATGTGTTCTGCAAGTAGCTGATTAGCAGATTGGTGGCGCGCCGCATAGCCGCACTTCTTACCTAGGTACAGCTCGCATCGTCACAGCGCGTTCTCATCTCGGTATGTCATTCTTCACGTCCATGGATATAATGCGGTACAGTGACATATAATGAGGAGAGAACGCCAGCTCTGTGGATACGCTTGCGCTAGTACAGGTACATGCGATTGTACCCCACGATCTCGGTATGATCCGGCCATGTCGTTTCTGGTCCGTCGTCTTTGACACTTACCACGCGCCAACGGTCATGAGGTGGCATGGACTGTCACATTTGATACGTGCTATGACGGTCTCAATGATGTGTATGTCTTGGTAGGCGGCCCTAGAACAAGTGTCTACGCAGGATATAGGGCTCTAGTATGCCCAGATGAGACTGCAACATGACAGTGTGTAGTACATCGATAGAACATATGCTGACGAGGGTGGTTCTCGTTTTAGCAGATGAAGTTGATGCGTATGCTGATTTGTAAAGATCTAACATTCTTCTTGTAGCGCTCAACCCGCCTGTTAAACTCAGATCGCAGCCTTCTCCATGTACCTATTGTCCTCTTGATTCTTCGCGTTCCAGCATCTCCATTCCCCTAGCACGACTCTTGTCAATCAAACCCTGCGATATCCGGATAGATGTGTTGGTATATTGGAAGATTTGAAAGTCGAAGAGGTCGTCAACCATATCATCCAGCTCCTTTGCAGTCATGCTAATCTGGGCCTGCAACTTCCGTATTGTAATCCAGTGCGCGACACGCGCGTGAACAACAGGGACAGGTATTTGATGAGCCCTCACCTTCGTCATCTTATAATGTTCGTTTAAGAAATGCGGTATTCGTTGCCCATACAGTGTGCCCAACATTTTGTTCATCTCGTAATGCATGAGACGTAGAATAGAAGCTGGCCATAATTGAGAATGCTTGTCAAGGAAAGCAAAATGGTCGTAGAAATGGTGAATAGGCTTGACCCGAGCCGCACCAGCTCGGTTGTATTCTGTCGAAGCGGAGTTGTGCCTTGGCTGAGATGTTTGAGTCTCCCGAGGATTGAGAATCAACTGAAGCCAATGGCTACCATGAAACCGTGATGGCAAGGCAGAGATACGTTTCCACAGGCCAAGTCCAGAGTCTGAAATGGATGGCTCGACAGTCGACCGTACATGTTGCGTTGACCTACGCACATTTCGCAAAGCTTCTCGTTGGCTTTCCCTCTTACAATGAAATTGTACCTTGATCTGGAAGTAGTCCATGTCAAATAGTGATGCTGCCGATACTACGCGAGTATTCTCCAGTTCTTTGAGCATCTTGTTCATGAACATCGCAGTATGAAAAATGTTCTTGGCCGTCGTGCGCAAGTCTAGAGCTCGTTTCACAAATTTCCGGTCTGCGAGGAGGTGTGCAGTCGTCAATGCGTCACCCGTAGCTATCCGTAGTGGTAATGTGCTAAGGATAGCTTGCCGTGTACTGCCATGATACTCTACCAGGTATCTGTGTAGCTTAGGGCATTTCTGTTCGATGTCTCTACGACTATGCAGATATTTATCCTTTACCATCTTGTGATACTGGCCTCGGCATAAAGAACGAGTTGTCTCCCCGGATGTCGTTCCCGAAATCCAAGGCTTTTCGGGCAAATCTTTCCAATTATAGTTCCAAAGGGGATTAGTGTCGCGGTAAAAGCTTGCAAGCAGTGAGTATGGAGAGTTGCGTGTCACAGCTTTGAGGTCTTCTCCTAGCTCTTCCAGTCGTTCTTCGAAATACAGCTGGAATGATGCATTGTCAAAGTGTTCTTGTTTCTGGCTATCCAGACTTGACGGCGGCGGTCTATCGTCGAAAGTACGCAACCTTTGGTGCCGTTGGGCATTTTTCTTCCCAAATCCGCTGCGAGCGGGAACGGAGGACGGATGCGTCGTTGGAGTAGGCACGCGCGCACCATAATTGAGCTGCTTTGTGGTTGGCTTTGGCAGCCTCATTATGGAGGTGAGCTGGTGGGCGCTGTTGCTGTTAGAGACGAGTGGTGTGAAAGAAGTTCTGCCGAAGACCGGCTGGGGATTCGTGCACGGCAACGGCGCTAACACCAAATTAGGCAAACGCTAGACGCCATAAGGAGTTACGACACACCTAAGATGTTCAATCATGGAGTTTAAGGACTTGGTGTCGGGACTAACGTAATACCAGGATACGGTAGGCCACTACAATTTTATGATCAAGAACTATTGGCATGACTAAAGAATACTATACATCGTCGCCTGTACCTCCCACACCAAGGTGCGACTCCAATCTCCTCCTCTTCATCGCCTAAGCCACCTCCTCAACCTCAGTGAACCGACCGCCAGCCTTAGAAAAATCACCTTCCTTCCCACCCTTCAACACCATATCCAAGAAAGCAGCAACATACGTAGTCGTAAGGCCCGTCATCCTACGCCCCTCAATAGAACCCAGCAGCTCTCCTACCTGCGCTGGTAACTTCCCATCCAAACCCAATGCAGAAATGACCAGAGGAAGATCCGAGAAGCTGTAGTGTGCTGAGTGCTTGACTCCAAACTCCTTCTTCCAGCCAGTCAGGTTTGGCCAGATGGTCTTCCAGGAAGGATCCGTTTCTTGTGTTTTGTTCTCGTGGCCCATTAGCATGAAGGGGCTGTTGAATCCGGTTGTCAACACGGAACCGAACATGGAGCCATCGAGGTTTACACCACCTTTGAGAGAGGTTATTGAAGTCATCGCACTGGCTGCTGCTGCACCTCCTAGAGAGTGTCCGACGACAGCCATGTTGGGCACGTTCTTGGCGCCCGCGTAACCTGGAAATAGCTCTTTGATAGCTGAGGCGTTCTTCATATGCCTGAAGACGAAATCGATGTCTGAAACTCGTGTGGTGAGTGCAAGCTCAATCTCAGCATCGCTCTCGATATCGACACCCGTCACAATGGTGCCATCCGGGAACTCAACCATATCTGCATCGTAGGGATGGTCAATGGAGAGCACTATGTAACCAGTAGCCGCGATGTTCTGGAGCATGGCGTTGTATAGGTGTCGAGATGTAGCGAGTGCGCCTGAAAAGAGGACGACTGGCAAGTCTTTCGAGCAACCGCCTCGTTTGGCCGGAGTCATGCAGGTTTCGAGGCTCAGTGATTGGAAACTGCCGTTGGGAAGACCGTATGCGCCGAACTTGGTGTCCATGAACGATGCGGTCGCGGGAGGCATGTAGGGTTCGACCTTCTTGCGACGGCATTGGGTAGTGGGGTAGAAGCCGGATACCATGATAGATCGAGGGCGGCCGTCGTTGGCGTACGGGTCCGAGCGAGCATGGTCGGTCAGCGAGGCGGAAGCGACCATCACATCTTGATGATGAGAGGCGACGATTGGGAGTGTAATTTTGGCAAATGTAAGGCCAGGCGAAGATGCCAAAAGTACCAGCAGAACTGAGGTGCGAAGTCCCATGTTGTCGATTGTTGATAACGGTGAGGATGAAATGTAAGATCTTTGGTAGTTGGAGGCGAAAGCAGAGGAAGGTGCTTGTGATGGATATGTTTGAGAGCATGAGTGGTATCTATAGTCTTGACTGAGGTAAGCATCTACATGCTTGAGATGCTCGAGCCTCTTCCGAGCGCTCTATCGTGGCCAAAAGCGGACATGACAGTGGATCCGACTATACTCTGGTTTCTTTGTAGTGCAGCAGAGCCGCATCTTCGACCGACATGGGTAGTGGAGGAGATCTTCCCCGGCGGCTTGTCGGTGCCATTAGTATCTAGTCCCAAGAATGTCTAGACGCGTTATTTCATTTCCTAAAACGGTCAAGTTAGCTGGCACCGCCTCTAGTGGGCCCGTTGCTCGTATGCTTCGTTCTTCAGCGACGCGATACCATTTCCCAAAGCATCTTTTTACGACATCCTGCGAATCTCCGATGCTGTGATAGACGACGCCTCATCGCTTGCCTTGCATTAGCAATCTGCCTGTGTCGCTACAGAGCTTACTTTCTCACGAGCGCCACGCATGTCACCCAGCATTGGGCCGTATGATGGTCGTAAGGCTAGACGGAAAAGGTGCGAAGCCTGTGTTAAGCGCAAAATCAAAGCAAGTGATTCAGCCCTATCAAGTCTGCCAGCACTAATTGGTTATAGTGTGATGGCGGCGTTCCTTGCGATTACTGCAAAGGGAGAAGACAAGCGTGTGTGGTGCCCACGAGGTCGGCAGTTTCGAGTTTTGTCTTCGTTAACCCAGGAGCCGAGAAGCAGCTTCAGCCACGATCGCCAATTAGCCCAGGGAGAACTGAGCAAAACATGGCTTACTTCTTCAGCTCCTTCCTACCGATGAATGTTCTTTCCAGTGGTGGTCTACTACTGCAAAAGGAGTTGCAAAGCATGATGCATTCTTCGGTCGCTTTGAGGGATGCTCTCTGTGCAGTAGCAGCCTTGCACCGATGCCAACGGGTCCAATGGGAAGTTTCGGGGACCAAAGACCCTGAAGGACGCCAGGGGGCGATGCAGCTTTACGTAGGATCCGTGAGAAGTGTCCAAGCGCGCATTACCCACAACAAGTTTGCGGACGATCCATCAACACTGTGGACGACTTTTCTGCTCGGCCTTTTCGAGGTAAGCGCCAACCCCATATATGAGGTGACAACGGCTTACATGGCTTAGCTAATGTGCGATGCCAGCGGGACCAACTGGCTCTCGCACTTCCTGCACGGGACTTGCGCAATCCTGCGGCTCCAACCACCTTCATGCCTTGCTCTTC